ATCGTTACGACATCATCGACCTGAAAGTACTACATTTTCAATCCTACTATTTCTCTACTCCTTTCATTAAAAAAATCATGCTAGTTATTTTTTTTTTTTTTTTTTAAAATTCCTGATCTCGGACAGAAAAAAAGATAATTCCTGAATTACCAATCAGTGCTGACACGCGGATCAATACAGTAATAATCTAATTTTCTTCACAGCAATATGGCGAACAAACAATTTTCTTCAAGCGAATCAGAAACACACAAATAAAATTACAGAAGAAAATGCCTCGAAATGATTCTTCTTTCCGGGCGCGTGCGGTACTTAAATCACCAAAAAATTCTTCTTCCAACCAAACCACCACAGACCAAATTCTTCGGGGCTCTCTCCACTCCAGCCTACATCCGCACGCACCTCTTCTCACACACTTTTGTTCTCAAACCAGCTATTTCTCCATCCTTAAGCCCTCGTGACCTTCCTCCGTGCGCTCCACGTCATCCCCCCCTTCGCCGGCGCTGTTGTCGTACGTATCATCGAAGGAGGTGTGCCCCTTCCAACAGAGAAATAACTGCCTGGAAGGTTTGCGAAGGTCACTAGCGATACTTTGCGACAATTTTTCTAATTCAAGTTTTCGGCCCATCTGTATTCCTAGGCTCCTTTTGGTCTATAGTTCTTCATTTACGGCTCGACTTACTTCCCCACGTTATACATTTAGACCAATTTCTTCGTCCACTACACTTTTTCGGCCTTTCACTGGCAGTTAATTATTATATGACGATTCCAGGATTTCGAATTATTGCAATGTATTTAAATAAAAACAAACCGGACAACAATAACTGAGGCCTCCAAGTTCAACGGCCTTCCCAACGGCTGCAACGTTTTCAATGTTTAGTACCTTGCCCAGGCATGTCGTAAAGCAATAATTATAAGCAATAATAATGGACGGATAGAGCGACTGGAAATCGAGCACAATCACCGGATCACGATAGAATCCCGACTCTGGTTCCATCGTTAGTGGCAATGTTTCAGGTGAGCACATCCTGAAACATACAACTGCCAGCTTTGAGAAAAAAAACAACCCATAAAATCTCCGAATTTTCCGACTAAATCGAAATAATAGACCAGCAGGATTGTACGCAGGCCATGTGTAAAGTGTTATTTTATGGTGCAAATTGCCTTTATCTTTTAGATTTAGTGGGGTGATATTTTTCGATGCAGTCTGTCTGTGTTCCATCCCTTAGCTGTAAACACAGACCGGACTATGCATGCGGGCAGGAGTGGGAATCGTCAGTACAGCCTCCTACCCGCC